AATGTTTACATTCAAATATCTAAATTAGAGAGCAGAGAGAATCACTCCCATGATTCCCCGCCGGCCTCGACGTCATCTTCTGTTGTTTTGATTGAGAGCCCCCTGGCGGCGGATTTTACACACTGTGCGTTTCATCCTTGTAAAAAAAAAAATGTGGTTATTTTTGTCGTTGCTTCGATTTCTTTGGGTAAACAAACACAGCAGAGAAAAATACGGAAGCACTGTTCGCTTTTACAGAGAAATCTACAGCGCCGCTTAAAATTGGGGGAGCACCAAATATTTTGGCTTCACTTTAGGAGGGCTGACATGGCGTCCATGTTTTTATGCAGTCTAACCATTATTGTTAAATGTCCTTTTATACTGTCAACTTTAATTCTTTTTCTCCTTTTGTAAACCTTTAATTAGCAGATGTTTGTCTCGTAGAGCAGTGGATTGATGGGCCAGATGATGGGTGTGATGCGGTGCACTGTTTAAAACTACATTCACACTTGTAACAAAGAGAGACTGTGTTGGCTCAAATAACACAGCTGTCAGCTTGAATTTTAGGTCAACAGCTAATCTCCCGCGAGCCTTTGCTTTAGACTCGCTCTGTGCCTTGATGTACAATTACCCTCAAGACACTCCTGACAGACAGCAGCAGGTGACAACAACATAGTCCCACCCTGCTGGCCAAACGGGGTGGAGAGGAAGGAGAGTATTGAGAGGTAGATATGCAGATGATGACAGAGTTAAGAGCTTGACAGCTGCTTTGTTAGAACACCTGTAAAGTCTGATACAATCCAGTACGACTGATTGGTCATGTTTAAGCTCACAGCGCTCAGTTTTTTCTGATATTTTCTGACAATAGTACAACGCCCACATCACTCATTCATAAACAAGACCTAAACATAATTAAAGGTGACATATCATCCTCCTCTTCTTCAGTTTAAATAAGTCTCAGAGCTCCTCAAAACATGTGTGTGAAGTTTCTTGTTCTAAATCCACTCTGATCCTGTATTTGATCATGTCTATAAACCCCTCTATTTCAGCCCTGCTCAGAACAGGCTGTTTCTGTGTCTGTACCTTTAAATATGTAAATGAGCTGTGTCTGACCACACCCCCTCTCTGGAAGGGCTCGGGTGTACTTGGGCTTTCTCGCTCCATGTCCTATTGTTTACGGTGAGAAGGCAGACTCAGAGGGCAGAACAAACACCTAGCTGTGGGAGTGTCACCCACCTGGGGGAGGGGCTACTGCCCTTTGTGATGTCATGAAAGGAAAATCTCCAACCGGCCTGTTTGAGCACACATTTTCTGAAAAGTGGAGCGGCAGAAGACAGAGAGGATGAACTTTTCTCATCATTGGGGGGTTTGTAGACAGACTAGAGACACATGTTAGAGTTAGAGGAACATGATGAAGTGTGTTTTGCATAATATGGGACCTTTACAGGAGTATGTACGTACCATTGTTTCACACTCAGCTTTATTGGCTGCAAATCACTCCATGTCCCAGCTTGATAAGGCAAACCAAACCAAGTCATCTGAGGTCCCTAAACCAGACACCCTCTCCCCCTTGAGATCCTGGCCAAGGCACTGCCATGTGATGTTTGTGATTGTCTGAAAAGGTAATTCTGAAAAAATTTCAGGACTTGAATGTCCTTAAAGGGTTGAGAAAAAAAGTTTTTTGAAAGTCTGACTATTGTTGTTATCCCAGGATGGAAAGTGAGCGTGAAAGGTCTGTGTGTCTTTAGACCCTGGGAGTCGCCCCTGACCTGGACTCACAGTCTAACAGTTATATAACTCAGATGTGTTGTATCCAGCCTGGCGCCCACAAATCCCTGTCACCTTCCGCTGAATCCCACCGAGCCTCCGGGGCTGGCAGCTGCATCAAGTAATCCCGCGCGCACACACATTCATGCTCAGTCACTTTCAAAATGGGGGCAGGAGTATTAACCAGGTGACCCACCCCGTCCACCACTGGGTCACAAATCAGACGAGTAAATAGGTCAAACATCAGCCGCATGGATTGTGTTACGAAATAGACAGTAAAAACATAAAGGGTTTTAAAACTTCATCAGAGCGCCTCAGACTTTCAGTTTAGACCGTCTTTTCATCACAATGAACTTTGTTTGTAATCATCTCAGTCATTCATTTATTAGATATGTGACCTCTGCCCCCTGTCCTTGAAAAGCACCTCTCCTTTTTCTTGGACCCAGTGCAGCACTCGTTTTCTTCTCCCCTTGAGGACACACCTCAAGGGGACACACCTCCACAAATTGACAGGGGCGTGTCGATGCTACCACATAAATCCTAAACGCTGATTGACTATGTGTCCTGTCAGAAGCGAGATGTGTGTAAAAACTGACCTTTTTTTTTTTTTTTGCTGTGATGCTGCTGGTAATTTTCCTTACAAATCAATGTAGCATACTTTGTTTTGTGGAGAAAAATGTATATAAATTCATTTAAATTAAGACAGTACTGAAGGATCCCCCACAGCTTTTAGTTTTTTCTGTCTTTCTTAATATTCATTTAATCGTCTTTTTCTCCCAACACCCTTTCCTCTTTCCTGTACTTTATTTCTTTTATGTGTGTATTCTTTTATGTTTTTAAAAAATTATAAAAATGTGCCCAAATGAACAAAACAAGTGATGAAATTTGACAACTGAAATGAAAAAACCTGCAGTAAAGTATGAAAAAAGAGAAAAACGACTGATTATTTGCTGATTTAGTGTTTTTTAAATCATTTTCTCGACATGTTCTTGACAGTTTGAGCACACTCTGATGTAAAGGTGCTGTAGGGGATTTTTAACAGATCACACTGTCTGTGCTCAGGCTCCACCAAGTGGTAAAAGTTGCAAAGACATCCAGGTTAATATTCATGGAGGGTAAATCCATGTCCATTTAGCATTTTAAATTAGATAATGGACGAGGAATATATATCTACGAGATGAAAGAAACCAGATCTGAAAGGAGTTAATGCTATAAATAAATAAATGATTATGATTGTGTTGCAATACACCCAAATATATTCACAGTATTCACATTCACTGGCCTTGTCCGGGTTACACATTCTGTTATAAACACAAAAAACATCTATTCAGGTGTAGTCCACCCCTAACAACTCGGTTTTTGTGCAAGCAAATACAAGTTCTGCTCGGTAAAAGTTCAAGCAAGAGGAAGACACATCGATTGATGTTCTTTTTTTTTACATTCATACCTACAATAATCTCTGGAAAATTCATGCATGTGTTTCAAATGCAAGCCAACAAACACGCCAGCTAAATATAGGAATACAAAATACTTTGATTCATTATACTGAGGATTGTTGAGAAAATTACTTAGCAGCATCATCCTGAGCACCGTCAGGAGTTTTTATCTCCAAAAGGCTGAATAATATGCGGCTGTTGTGGTTTTTTCTCATTTCTATGTCGACTTTTAATCACTTAAAAACACACAGAGTGCCGCGGTACTGCTCTCCACATCTTGTGCAATAGCTTTCTTCATTTTCATGTAAAGTAGAGTGCAACATTTCCATATAGTGTGTTTATTATCATGTGCAATGATTTAAATTTATTTCTGATTATGCACAATATTACTTTGTACAATTGGGATGAATTTTGTTTTTGTGCAATATCCTTTTTCCATATAAGGCTGTATGTTGTTCTTTACTATGTGCAATGTTCCTTCAATTCACTGCAGCAGTATCTCACTCAGTAAGGAACCAGAGGATCTCAGTACGTAGGGACTTGGGATAGGAACCAGAGGGTCTCAGTACGTAGGGACTTGGGATAGGAACCAGAGGGTCTCAGTACATAGGGACTTGGGATAGGAACCAGAGGGTCTCAGTACGTAGGGACTTGGGATAGGAACCAGAGGGTCTCAGTACGTAGGGACTTGCACTGGGAACCAGAGGATCTCAGGCAGTAAGGTCTTGGGATAGGAACCAGAGAATCTCAGGCAGTAGGGACTTGGGATGGGAACCAGAGGATCTCAGGCAGTATGGACTTGGGATGGGAACCAGAGGATCTCAGGCAGTAGGGACTTGGGATAGGAACAAGAGGATCTCAGGCAGTAGGGTCTTGCACTGGGTCCAGAGAGTAATCAACACAGCACAGAAGATCATTAGCTGCACCCTCAGCAGAGCCGGGCTAAAAACATTGTAAAGGACTTACATCCCAGTTTTCATCCCTTGGACCTGCAGCCCTCTGGCAGGCTCTACAGGTCCCTTAGAACAAGGACAAACACATTTAAGGACGGCTTCTTTATAACCACACTGAACTCTGGTATGCACTAATACGTGCGTGCATGCATGCATGTCTCGAGCTGCATTAGTAACTCCTTCTGTGGAAGCTCACAGTCAGAGATGGGCTGATAAGTGATCATGGGAAGTGGATCAGCTTCTCTTTCGTTTTGTAAAAGAAGCTTGTTTTCACTTGTACATTATTCCTTAGTTTGTTTATAAATCATTTTCTTTGTGCTGTAATGTTGGAGCAACCTGTGCACAAGAATTTATTTTGAGATCAATCGAGTTCTATCTCATCTTATTCTGTGAGTGAAAATATAAATACAGCTCAACTTCAAAACACTGATTTGGCACTCACAGGCCGCCCCCCACCTGCTCAAACTCTGAGAGATTTAAGAGCGATCACAACTTCATTCTTTAATTCTCAACAAACCATTTTCCCACGCAGTGTCCCTGAGTCACCTCTCTGTAGGAAATCGACTAATCCTCCATGTAAACACTTGTTTATCTCAAAGTGAGCGTGTGATTCGTGTCCTGAGAGTGAACGAGCCGTCACATGGTTTGAGGAGGCTCAGATTAGACGGTCATGTGTGACCGATCAGCTCTGCAGCGTCTCAAAGTTCACCGAACCTGTAGGACGACTTTACCCTCAGAAGGGATGTTTTGTTTTTGTTTGGTTTTTTTCCAGTTTGACATTTAAAAACTACGACAATGTTAGCAATCACAAAGGGTGTTGTTATGTGTCGCCTGTGCAGCCGTCAAATGCACTTCAGTCTCTTACCTTGTCGTCATGCTGCGCCATAAATGAGCACCTGCAGAAAATCAGAAAAAACAATCTATTATTTATCAACATTAAAAAGGTCATATGACATAGATTTAAAATACAAGCTTAAAAAAAACATAAGGCAGGAAAAAAGCACAAGAACAGATGTCACATATGTCTACACTGACGAAGGTTTATTCAGCTCGACGATCAGGACACAGCTTCGTTTGACTTCAGCTGACCACTGGGCCTCTCGTTGTCCGTGTCTCTATTTGTAAAGTTTTCTGAAAAGAACTAGTTGTCCTGGTGTCAGAAGTCTTCTGAGACGCTTATTTTGTGTTGGACTGTGCTGGTCTCGATCCCTAAATGTCACGGTCTCGGATCACTCTGGTCTCGGGTATGTCTTTGTCTCGGTGAGTGTGGTCTTGACTACAACACTATCTGTAAGTGGTAAAGCAGATTTTCCTCCCGCCTGTCGTCATAGAGACTGATTAACAGTCTTGGCAGCATTACAGAAGCACTCCTTGTAGAAAGGCTGAGTGATGAGTAAGGGATAAAAAAGTCTGGATACTGGAAATGAGAGTCAAAACATCACAGCATAAGGAATACCAAGCAGGAGTGTAAACACAGGTCGGGCTGATGAGTGACCATCTGTGACTCATCCTCAAGTTGGACTCGTTCTTACTCATCAGGCTAATGAGAAACCATCAGGCTGAAATCATTGGGGCGCCGTCGTTCAAAAGGTTTAATACTATTAATGTTTGTATTCTGAAATTAGTGTACGACAATATATAGTTACATTTTGCTTCTGTATGTGTACCTTGTAGTCAGGCGGCTTAGCAAATTTATGGGGACACGCCGGACAAAATCACCACATTTTTTCCACATCACCATAGCTTTCAATTTCAGAGGGGAGCGACTTCATCAAGATGGCGGTTCCAAGATGGCGGCCATGTAAAGTCTATAAGTGTCAATATGTCTTCCGAGCCACTTAGAAAGTCAATCTTGGTCTCAATATATACATTTTCTGGATCAAGGAATGCATTAAAATACCACCAGATGATTATTTGTGACAAGATCAAATACACATGTTAATTTTGGCAATGTATTACAAAATTTTCCTTGGTTCCTAGGCGGTTGGACATGAATTAATTCATATTAACATCATCTTTGATGTCAGGATGAGTTCCGTTCATTTGTTCCCTCACAGGCGCCGCGGAAGGTCTAACTGCATTAACCCACAAATCTCCATCCTCTCTGGGTTTTTCTTTCTCAGATTAAATTCTGTAGAAGCAAATCCATAAGTGTGTGGCGTCATGCGAAAGCAATAAATACAATTAAATATCAATACAAATATGGACAATTTAAATCGATTGAACAAAAACAGACTGTAATACTCTTTTTGACCAGCAGAGGGCGCAACAGTCACTTGATTTAGGATTCGTAAAGAAGAAACATGTTTTATTTTCTGAGTGACCACACAGCCTCAAAAGTAAAAAGTATGACTTACATAAAAAATGTACAATAAGGATATTTTAAGTTTTTCAATTTTTTTGGGCAGAAAATTAAAATGAAAGAGTCATATTCATAATCCTCTATTTATTTTAACAACTAAATTTCAAGATATAACCCAATGTGATGGCTTTAATTGATTCAGGGTACTTTTAAATCCTGGGCCCTGCTTCTTAGTTAACTGCTGATATCGATTTACTTCATGAATGCTCCTCACAGCGTCAGAGAGCCCAAGATGGTGTTGTTAAAATGTCTTGTTTTGTGCGACTAAAAGGAATGCCTCCTTGAAGCCATCAATGAGTTAGCAAAGTGTAGCTTCAGGTACGAGCTGTTACCTGTGGATCTGGACTGAAGGAAGTCTTTGGCGGTCGCAGTGACGACGATCAGAGCCAGCAGGCCGGCCGCGATGCTGTAGGTGCGGAAAGAGCTGAAGGTCACGAACCTGAAGAGAAACGAAACACAACAGCACAGAGGTGTGGCGCTCAGTATGTGTCTCGTACATAGACTGTAAATGTTACTGGACGACGCCTGAGTGACGTCAGCCATCCGTACCTACAGGGGGCTCTAGAGGCTCATCGGCAGAAATTGGCATGACAATAACTAATCAGACCTATTTTGTTTTTTGTACCTGGCTGTAAACATGTTTATTTATGCTGTAAAAACAGCTTTATTGCCAGTCATGTGTATGTGACTTCCTGTTTTCTTGGAGCCAGCCTCGAGTGGACACTCAAAGAACTGCAGGATTTTGCACTTCTGCATTGGCTTCATTTTTCAACACCGGAGGTTGCCGTCGGGTCTTGTAGCATAGCGTAGTCCACCTGGTCCAATTTGGGCCCGCTTGTCGCTTATGCATGTAAGAGTAAAGCAGTCGGAGAAGTGAGAATTCAAACGGAGCATTTAGAGTCTAACAGGGGCGCGCTCCCCATGTTCAGAGGCTATAGTCCTATAGCGGGTGGCCAGGGTTTGAATCCAACCTGTGGCTCCTTTACCACAAGTCATTCCCCACTCTCTCTCTCTCTCCCCGATTTCTTACTCCCTCCACTGTCCTGTCTCTAATGAGGCACAAAAAGCTCCTAATTAAATCCAATTTTTTTGAAACAAAAACAAGGGCGCCTGTAGCCTCGTGGTTAGTGCACACGTCCCATGTTCAGAGGCTATGGCCATCCAAGCAGGCGACCCAGGTTCAAATCCGACCTGTGGCTCCTTTCCCGCATGTCTGTTGATTTCTGACTCTATCCACTGTCCTATATCTCTACAATAAAGCCCCAAAATAAACCTAAAAAACCCCCACAAAATACAGGATATTTGTAAAGCTGAATACCAGAGAGTTGTGTGTTTTATTTTTAATTAATTTGTACCAGCAAACATAAAAAGATAAGAACTTCCTCCACACCTTTTTAGACTTTTCATACTATTTAATGATGTTTCTGTAAACACTCTGTAAAGACCTCTGATTTGTTGAATATCACAGTGACCCCAAACAAATATAAAGAAATACAATAAATGAAATACTGGTAGCTGTAAGTAACTTGATATAGAAGTGATTTTATGGTCTTAAACTTAAATTTACGTGTGGTTTAAAGATAACAAATACATCTAAATGAAGTCTTTCTGAGGTTCAGAGTGAATCCAAAGTAATACTTATATTTCCTTTAATAAACAGGAGCTCAGTGTTACAGTAATGGGAGTGTGTCAGATATCCCTGCGTCATGATGCCTACCAGAACACCGTGTTGGCTGCAGCAAACAGCGCTGAGGTCCTGCACGGTCTCTGCCTCCAGCTGAGCAGGCCGGTGAGACGACACCCTGCGCGGCCGGGCGGCGCCTCCTCCTCCCCGCGGTGGGTCCGGCTCGGAGGCCCCGGGGGCCCGGCAGCCTCCTCCCCGCCGCCCGCACATCCTGATTCCCGGCTCCCCAGCATTGGACAACGACCGGGGCCCCTCTGCTCTGCTGCAGCTCGGCTCCTCCAGCAGAGATCAGCGTCAAGTTCCCCGGAATGTTTACGGGTGTACTTCCGGTGGTTATTTTTCAAAGTAAAAGCCACGGTTTGTTTCTGTTTAGTTTGAAAATATAAATACAAAACATCCACATCCATATAAAATTAAACTTAAAAGAAATTTTCGAAGAAATATGAAATGGTTAAAAGAGGAATTTGTAGTCCAAAATCACACAACATTTACTTTGAGTGTTGGAAGAGGAAGTTAAAACTACATACAATAAAAAATAAAGTGCAGGTTTTAGGGTTAATTCTAAGGCACATGAAAACAAACATGTTTTTTTTTTTTTCAACCTGGATTCAAAACATTTAGAGTCAGAGAGCATCTAATATCTGACGATGGTTTACAAGCAGCGTATGTGTAGTTAGGACTTTGGGCTGTAGCTGACCCGAGTCGACAGATCTAAACTTTCCTGTTTGGGTTGTACACTTTAAACACTGAACGCTATATTGTTCAGTGATGTGTGAACGTGTAAACTGTAACACTTTCCAAATCCATACCACGGCTAACTGGAAACCAGTGCAGAGACTTTAAGACCAGAGTGATTTGCTCCATTTCTTTAAGGTCAGAAGTCTCACAGCAGCTGTCGTATATTTCAATGTACACATTTGCTTATTTTTCTGCAGTAATCTTCTTAAATACTTCAAACATCTTCAGGGTTTTCACCTGAAAAACAAGATAGGAGGAGATGAAATATGTGTCTTTGTAAGGGCTGACATGATGACATTCATTAAAACATAAAAACTCTGACATGTCGACCTAACTTAACATTTCAGTGACTTAAAAAGGCACCTTTTTTAATTTGAAAGATTTTATGGTGAAACGAAAGATCATCACACTTCCTGTGTCCAGTCGTAATTTTATCTGACTTGAAGCAGCTCAAGATTTCTGCTGCTGCTTGTTTTGTTGTGGTTTAGATCATTGACGTCAGGTGTGTGTGTGTGTGTGTGTGCGCGCGTGTGTGTGTGTGTGTGTGTGTGTGTGTGTGTGACTCTGCATGTTTCTAATAAGCTCCACGAGCAGAAACGTGCTCAAACTAGGATCAATATTGGAGATGCTTTTGAAAAATGGAGAGAGGTTAGAACACAGAAAGGTTTACAGACCCATGCAGAGCTGGATAAACACTGAAGCTTCAGAGTCCACCACATGGTGACCTGAGTGAGCATCCACTCTAGAGAGGAGGGGAGGGGGGAGACAGCTCTCTACAATGTTTAGAATTTAGACTGCAGTACCCATTGTAAACACTGGGTTACATATGGATCCCTTAAATGAACTCTTTTACGTTTATAGACCTGTGCTTTATCCTTGAACTCTCTGCCCGCCTCTCGTGACAGAGTCTTGGGGAGTAAAATAAGGACCACAAAGACTTAATGACCCATTTTCACCCCGCCGCCCGCACTGTTCTGGACCCGAGTCAAGATCAGAGCTCAGTTCCAAACCGTGATCTCCTCCAGTGACCTGCTCCACTTTCCAACCCGGGGGGGGGCACGCCTTCACTCCACGATGGTCCACCGAGCTTCTCGCATCAGAGGGGATCCAACATTAAGGGGACCTTTTCTCTACTCCGGGAAAATACAGAGTTTGACCAAAAACAAAACTCACAACAATGCTTGTGACTTTTTAACAGGGTTCATGTTCCTTTAACGGACAAGTCGATCTCGTTTTTATGTATTTAAAATTCATGATTTATTCTATAGGTAAGAGACAGGGTTTGATATATTTCATTATAAGTTATGTGTGCTTAAATAATGTGAATTATACATGATGTGCTTTGATAAAAACAAAGGGCAACTTCAAAATGAGAGAAAACGATCCCCCTTTATTTATACAGCACATTTAACAGAAATATGAATTTATCAAAGTGCAGAAATAAAAACACAGCGGAGCACTGTTAATGTTTGGTCACTCAGTCCAATCACTTGGTTTTAAAGCGGCAATTTCCACACAATCAGGCCAACCAGACACACACAAATAAATGTAAATTAACACTTATTTATTGCTCAAGGTGTACGCACACATTTGCACGCAGACACACACACATATGTTTTTTAGTCTTGCACGCAAACACATCATTAAAAGAGAGCTGTAAAAGGTTTAGAGTGTGTGAGTGTGTGTGTGTGTGTGTGTGTGTGTGTGTGTGTGTGTGTGTGTTCAGTGTGTGTGTGTGCGTCAGCCGCTAATTGGACTGAATTTCACCGAGCAACAAAAGATCAGGCTCGAAAATTCCAGCTCTGGTTTGTACAGGCTTTGCTTTGTTGTCCCTTCGCCTCTTGTTTGTTCTCTTCTAATGCTGTGTTAACAGTTATCTCTCTCTCTCTCTCTCTCTCTCTCTCTCTCTCTCTCTCTCTTTCAGTCTCTCTCACTTTCTCTTCACGCCGCCCATGAAAGGCTTTTTTTTTGCCCCAAACGAAGCACCGTTACCCCATCTGCTCAGAGGCCAGAACTTATGAGAGACTTCCCACATCAACTCTGGACTCTCTCTCTCTCTCTCTCTCTCTCTCTCTCTCTTTCTCTCTCTCTCTCCCTCTCCCTCTCTCTCACACACACACACACACACACACACACACACACACACAGATTGCAGAAGCCCGTTGGACCGTCACTATGAACCCCAGACCTTCACTGCAGTCGACCGCTGTCACAACCTTTATCCATGGGAAACTCGTCGCGTCCTGCTGTGCTGCGCCCGGACACAACGTTGGATTCCTCTGTTGAGGGAGGATAGAAAAAAACCAGGCCAGGATGATGATTGAGCTGCAGGGCACCGAGGACGGTGGCGGCGGTGGAGGAGTCGGAGTCGGCCACCTGGAGGTCCTGAGCGCCGAGGAGCTGGAGTGTAAGATCTGCTACTGTGCGTATAATCTCGGGGGTCGGAGGCCAAAGGTGCTCGAGTGCTGCCACCGCCTGTGCGCCAAATGCCTCACTAAGATCTTGGATCTGGGCGAGTCACCGCCCAACGCCATCGTGTGCCCCTTCTGCCGATATATTACCCGACTCCCAGGTGAGGCGGCGAGCAGCCTGCCGGACGATGGCAACCTGGTTGCGGCGCTCGCCCTGCGCAGCAGGAACCAGAGGAACATCCAGGAGACGACCACAGAGCTGCTCCTCAGCCCCGGGCGCCTGAGCTCACTCTTTGGAAACAACCCTCCCGTGACGACTCCTTCCTCCTCCTCCTCTTCCTCCTCCGCGTCGTCCTCGACCACCTACTCCTCCATCCGGGGCTCGCCCAACTTTGTCGTCATCACCATCATGGAGCCTCCGCCGATGCCTGCGGCCATGCAAGACCTCCACCGACACCGACACCCACACGGGTCGCTCACATCACACCGGGGCTACCGCTCATCCAGTGTGGACTCCATGGCGTCCATCACGCAGCGGTGGACCGTGTGGAACTGTGCCGCCCTCCTGTGCCAGACCTCGGCCCGGGCTCTGGTGTGGGTCCTGGGTCTGCTGTACTTCAGCTCGCTGCCCATGGGAGTCTACCTGCTCATCATGCAGAGGACGACCCTCGGGGTGCTGCTGGTGAGTCTGGTTCCCGCCAGCCTCGTCATGATCATGGTCTACGGATTCTGCCAGTGTATCTGTCACGAGCTGTGGGACTGCATGCCTCCATAACTGGGACCAGAGTGAATGGGTTTGCTTTGAACACGCCTTACAATGGATCTCCAGAGTTCACTAACGGGGATGTTACTGTGTAACCGACCATGTGGACTCTTAGAGAAAATGCAGCTTTTCTTTGTTAAGGAGAAGAACATTGTGTAAATTACAAATGGGGCTCACAGTTTTGGGGCTTTTCCTTGTTATACATGTACATTTGTGCTTTGTTTAGCTTTGTAGCAACTAATAAACTAAGTAGAGCTCACGTGACTAAAAACACACCTTCTTGTTTTATCTGAATCCTGAAGGTATTTCAAGTAATAAAAATCACAGCCTCTTTGTTAAAGATTGTAATACAGGCAGCAAAAGTCAATTTAAAGATTCTGGTCCTGAATGCTCTGGATTTGTTTGGACCAGAGAAGGTAGGCGCTTTTAAGGCGACCCCTCCACACGGCCGTTTTGGACGCCCCTCGGTTTGTCAGACATGAGAGCAGTTATCAGGTCAACAGGTGTTGCAGCGATGGAAGCGGGCAAGAGAAGTGGTTCAGATAGAAGTGATTGTACCCGACCTAAAAAGCCTCTGCATGTTTCTAATAAGCTCCACGAGCAGAAACGTGCTCAAACTAGGATCAATATTGGAGATGCTTTTGAAAAATGGAGAGAGGTTAGAACACAGAAAGGTTTACAAGTCTCTCTATAATCAATGAATCATCAAACGGAGTGTAAAACCAGAATTTCCCCTCGGAGATGAACACAATTTGTACAATTTAAATAAAAAAAAGATAGAACTTGAAGCAGCACTGAGGAGGTTAATGAAGGTGTAGATGTGGTTGAAAGTTGAACAAGTGAATAATTCTGCAAGAAATCTGAAAAGACTAATGGACTTGTTTTATGATGACGCAGGAGAAGAGGGTTCCCAGAAAAGATGAGGAGAAGGAATACTCAGAGCTTGTTAAACTGCACTGGCATGCACTCTGCAGTGTACTCTTTCATCTCTCAGATTTCATTTTTTCTGTAGTGGTTGAGGCTGAACCACCAGAGGGCGCTGTGCCAGTTCTCACCTCCCCCTTCTGCCTCTATGGGACATCCTGTTCTCCCAGAGAATATCCAGTGTCATCATGCAGTTTATCATGAGTTGTTAAAAAGATTTGTCCTTGTGTGTATTTGTCAAAGAAAACAAACTCTAGTTTTAAAAAAATAAAAAATAAAAAAATTAATCCAGATCTGAACAGGCGCCTGAAACATGTCGGACATAACCTGCTCTGCTTCCAATCAAACGCTCGCAGCTCAGATTGCAGACTCAAGCGATGATACAAAGGCTGCAGGAGTGTATACTCAAGAATTTAAGAGTCAAATGAGACTGTCATGCTCCTGTTACAACTCACTGTGAAGTGCAAAAGTCAGAGCCGGAACCGCTCTCTGTGGGGGCAGGGGTGAAAATAAGCTGTGGACCCCCGACGACCCACCCCATGAAACCTCTATCTGTGCTTTGTGTATTTATTAAAGGGGAATCTGTTGACATTCATTTAGAAATATGCATCATGTTTGTTACGTTAACCCTCACGATTAGAAGATGATGTCCTTTATGAATCCTGCGAGGGGAAGTTTAATTTTACACTCTGTTATTGAGACATGCTACACACACACACACACACACACACACACACACACACACACACAAACAGGACATGCACTAATGGAGAGATGTCAAGGTGTGGGGGTGGGATTGGTGCCTTGCTCAAGGGCACCTCGGCAGTGCTCAGGAAGTGAACTGGCACCTCTCCAGCTACCTGACCAACTTCCAGATTTGGGCCATTTTCCTCTGATGTCACTCTCAAGAGGGAAAAACTCAAAAACTGTTATAACTGCTGTGTTCCAGGTGGCAGGTCTAATAAGGACCTGGGGCCATTAACGTTGTTTTGTGCACTGGCTGCACCCATTTTTAAAACAAAACCAATACAGTTCAACGCTCAGAGCAGTAAAACTCACTTGATGTCGTCTGTTTTTTGTGTTTTTTTGTGTGTTGGACCCTCTCGAAAACGAGATGAGTCCTCTCAAGGGGCTATCCGTCAATAAATGTAGAATTTACAATTAAATATTAAGCACACAGAGAAGTTTAAAACAGAGGTAACAGTCACTACGGAGGGATGCGAAAGGGCTGCAAGTCAACTTTTGTAACCTAGCAACAATACACACCGGTACGAAGGGCGCTGAAACTTATCAACTTTGTTTTAGAGCAGCATCGGAATAGAAAAACTCAAGTCCAGTCGAGTACATCAAAACACAATACTTGGGTAGATGCACATTTTCCACCTTTGGCAATACATTTCTCTTGATTGAAGTGACATGAAGTTATAATTTTCATTATTTCCCCGTCTTTTAAAGGGGACATATCATAAAATAAATCCACTTTTTCAGTGTTTTTGAACATTTATCTGGGTAACCTGAGAGTCTACAGACCCCCAAAATGTGAAATAAACCCATCCAGCCCTTTGTTTGTGGTCTACATAAGTCTTACAACACAGAGAAAAATGCTTCGTTTCAAATGTGCTCTCCTTGTGATGTCACAGTGGGATTCTGGTAAAAACAAAAACAAAAATCCCTTCCCCTCCCCTGATATCTCCACCCATGGACTCCACCCCTGGCCTAGAGCAAAACTTTTACACAGGTCCGCCATTTGTATTCTCTCTACAGAGGAGTGATGTCTACGGGGAAAATTCAGGGGGGGTCATTGCATTTAAAGAGACACACACACCAAATGGAGCGTTCTGAGAGAGCTGGTTTATACAGGGTCACAAACCTCCTCTGGTGCTTGATTCATGTTATATTTTGACAAAAGCACAGCACAGAGGGGACTGTTTGAAAAGGTGGAGGAGGAGGAGAATATGTACTCTTTAAGTATGTTTCTATCCCATCAGATGCTGTTAAAGTTAATCCAACAAGTTATTCATGCAGGATATACAATAATTGTAAGCCATCCCGGGCTTTCACATAAGCACTCCTGAAGATTTCAGGAAACTTCAGGATTCTTTCAGGAGTTTTGTGAACAAGGCAAGATGATCTGTTCCCAGAACATTGTGTCCCTGTCCGTCTTCTAAAACACTCGACTTTGCCGATGATAAACCGTCCAGGCCTGCCACAGTTTGTGTTTTCCAGCGTATACTCTTGAATCTCAGGCCGAGCAAGTGCTTCCCTACAGGGAGCGTAACATCATTTCAGATTCCTTTCAAGTGATGCAATGAACATCCCCACATGTTGGTGTGAGGGACTTTCTCATGTGGTGTAAGCCAAACTGAGAAGAAAAAAATCACTTTAGTCTGAAACAACAACTTGGAAATTACAAACCAGATGTGTGGCACGACTGGTTTCCTTTCACTTTTAAAGAGGAAATCATGACTTATAGCCTACACCAGTGTTGACTAAAACAGTAACTTAAACTCACAGATTAAAGGAGTTACTGGTCTACCACTGCTTCAATCATTCCTAAACACCAAAGTCAAATTAAAAAACAGTAACAAGAAAAAGAAAAAGCCAATGTGGCAATGTAGACCAGGATGTTAAGTTCCCTCCTGAGAGTCTGGTGGCTTTGTAGAGAGTTATGTAACAGCTGTTACTGTAACGCCTGTGCTTTTGCAAAATAGGTTTATCCCCTAACAGCAAAAAAAATGAACACAAAGGTCTGTCTCTGCAGGAATCTTCATCGTGTCGTTGTCAGACTTCCAGGATAAATATCTGATCTGTGCGTGTTCTTTTGTAACAAAACAAAGAGTAAGGTCTTTACCTGCTCTTTTGTACCATAATATAATAAGGAGTTAGGTGTTTTACATGCTCTTTTGTAAAATGTCTTGAGATAACATTTGTGGTGAATTGGCTTTCCGATATCAGCTTTGTCAACAATGGTGGAGAAGAAAGTAATGTCACTTATTTTTTCAAGAGAACAAATTCCGGGTCATGAGCGGCTGCTAATGTCAGGACAGGATTCAATTATATGTCGTTTTTAAGTTTTCTTGGTGATATGTCTGTGAATAAAAGTAAAGTAGTACCACAGGTGTCAATACTATCAATGTTATTAGTGTTATATGTAATGTGTAATCTTGTGCCTGTTTGCAATGTGTGGGTGTAGTGGCATTATGGGAATAATGTGCTGGTGGGTTGGTGTATAAGCAGAGGCGCTACTTGTCAACAGGCCCAAAATGGCCCAAAATGTGTAAATTTTACAATGACGGTAGGAAACCTCCCTAAGGGGTCCCAGCATCTGACAGCACGCACTTTCATTGACCTGCTAATCGTTGCATGCATAATTGCTGTGAAAACCAAAGTTTGTCAATGAATGTCACCAAAGATGAATTAGCTGTTTAAAGGAGAGAAAACTCGGAGGAGTAAGCGTCGGCTGGCAGACAAAGGCTAAAAGTGTGGTACACTGATTGGAGGACCCCCAATCAATTTTTGCCTGGGGCCCCGACAGGCTCTAGAATCGCCATTGTGTGTGGGAGCCTTTGTATTTGTTGTTGAATGTGTCTGTGCCACTTGTATGTTTGGTGTTGGACCCCCTAAAAACAAGATGAGTCCTCTCAAGGGGCTGTCTGTCAAAAAATGTACAATTAATAATGAACTATTAAGCACACAGAGAAGTTTAAAACAGAGTTAACAGTCACTACCGAGGGAGGCCAATTGGCCCTATACAATTAAAGACTGATTGATTAATGTATTAATTGATATACTGTGTATTTGTATGAGGGACAAAAAATGACTAAAGTATAAATAAATAAATGTTGGGAGAAATGCATACAATAATGTATAAATAAATAAATAATTAAATAAATGCATCAATAAATATATAAATAAATATATATGTAAATAAATGCAACAATTCATATGAAAATTAATATATACATAAATATATTTATATATTTATTTATGTATTTCTGTGTCTATGTTGTACAAGGAAAAGTAAATATGTAAATTAAGTGGGTCAATTTTGAAAAACAGACAGAAGCAAATTTACATATATACTTTTC